ACTACATGTTGTCTGTTTTTTATTCGCCATTTTTCCTATGAGTAAAAGTATAAATAATAAGCAAAGAGATGCAGAGTTACTAGTGCTGCCTGGTTTGATCACCGTAGAGAGTTTGGTATGTTCTTCTGTTTTGTGTTTTTTTTTGTGTGTCTGATTTAAAGTTTCAGGAGAGAAGCCAAATGCCCCGTAACTCCCCTGTCGTTGGCACACTGATGTCAAATTGCTGTTTTTATTTTTGGATTTTCAGATTACTCGAAGTTGAGAGGATAAAATATGTTTTTCTCTCATGGTTAAGTGTAAGTGAGACGAGTGTTTCAGGCCTGGAGTTTGATGGGTTTTATTCAAATTGACGTTAAAAATAAAAATCCAGTCGCACCCTGCTGTAGGAGCTTCACAAACCAGCTCTGTTCTGTGTTCTCGAATTACTGCACCACCCTCAGTCAACTGCTGTGACACACATACATGAAAGACTCAGACGTCCTTAGTCGTGTTTGCCGAACGGGGGTTTTACTCTGAAGCTTTTTGGTATGATGTTTGTGTTCATTCTGGTTTATTTGACATCACACAGCTAATACTGGGTTTGTTTTCCTTAAATACCGTTTATCTGCCACTCCTTAAAAGACAGATAAAAACCTCCAGCTAATTATGTGAGTGTTTCCTTCCAGCGTTGTTAAGGAGTTTAATTTTCTTTTTTTTTGGCAGCAAACAAGAGAAGACAAACTCTCATTGATTTCAGTCCAGAAGACGGGTTCAGACTCGTCACAGCCTTCTGAAACAGCGGCGTTGTTGCTCCGCATGAACAGCAAGATAGTTTGTCATTATGTTGCCTGTTACAGTCTGTGTTTAGGGTCGTCTGTGTGGATTCTCACTCGTGTCAAGCCTAAGAAGCTTCAGTACGGAGTGCCTTTCTTTTAGGTTTTGAAGACGATTCACCTCTCTGAAGAGCTGATGAACCTCTTGGATGAGAGGTGAAACGTCTTTTAAAGCTCAAAGAGAAATTCAGCTGCTTTTTACTTTTAGGTGGGACAGTTTCTTCCACATTTTTATAAATATCAAAGAGGATGAAAGCAGATTTTTCTATGCTCAGATACCATATCCTGCTCATGTGCTGGCTGTGCAGCTTTGGAGTTAGATTTGCACCAATATAATCAAACAAAACTTCTTAAATATCAACTAGAATCAAGAATTTGAGAGAAAAAAAAGAAACACCAAAGGAAAGAGGGGAAAAAATATGAAAAGTAATCTACAAAATCAAACTTAGAACGTTGGTTTGTGTTCAGTTTGTGTCCATTATTCTTGACTGCAAAGATTTGGTTTTATTCCAACATTCAACAAAACTTTGTAAATATCAAACAAAAATTTGAATTTGAAAGAGGAAGCAAAATAAATAATTCCTAATACTAATAATAATAATAATAACAAAAAGAAAACATATAACTTGCACACAAACTATTTGGTACTTTGCATATTAATAATATGTCCATTCTAACTGGTAAGCCTTTTACCTTCACTGGTTGCATTTCTTAATTGAATATCAAGGAAATTTAAAGCAAACTTTTAAAATTGATCAAAAATATTAACCAAGAAAACTGCAAATGAGACTTTTTTCCATTTACTGCTTTGGAGCAAATAAACTAGCTGTAAAAAAAAAAAAAAATATATTATCCATCCATTCATCATCTATACACCGCTTAATCCTCACTAGGGTCACGGGGGCTGGAGTCTATCCCAGGTGACTCAGGGTGAAGGCAGGGGACACCCTGGACAGGTCAGCAGTCTATCACAGGGCTACACTTAGAGAGAGACAACTAAGCACACTCACATTCACAATTGTGGACAATTTAGAATCACCAACTAACCTCAACATGTTTTTGGACTGTGGGAGGAAGCTGGTGAACCCTACAATTCTACAATTTCACTGAGCAGACACTTTTATCCAAAGTGACGTACATCTGACAGTAGATACAACACAAGCAAGGATCTAGTCAGGAAAAAACAATCTAGATAAGTGCCACAGAACAGATTCAAGTGTGATAGGGCATTGATGCCAATAACAGGCTGTGTTTGAGGTAATAGGATTTTTTTTTTCTTTTTTGTTTTGTTTTCGGGCTGAGAAGTGCAAAGGTGTTCAGTTTGGTAACTCATTCCACCACCAAGGAACCACAGAGGAGAAGAATCTAGCTATCGACTTTGGCCCTGTTGCGGTGGTTGTATGGTCGAGTGTAGTGGGCGGTAGGGAGTGTAGATCTGAATGAGAGGGTTCAGGTAGGAGGGAGCTGTTCTTGTTGAGGTTTTGTAAGCAAGTGTCAGGATTTTGAATATGATGTGGGCAGCAGCTGGAAGCCAGTGAAGCCATCTGAACAGTGGGGTGATGTGTGATGTTTTTGGCTGGTTGAAAACTAGACATGCTGCTGCGTTCTGGATCATCTGCAGAGGTTGGACCGTGGATGCGGGGAGGCCTGCCAGTAAGGAGTTATCAATGCATGATGTTATTAGAGCTTGTACCAGGAGTTGTGTTGCATGTTCAGACAGGAAAGGCCCTGCACGGGGAGAACATGTAAACTCCATGCAGAAAGATCCCCGGTGTCCTCGCCGGGACGCGAACCGGTGACATTCTTGCTGCGAGGCAACGATGCTAACCAACTGCTCCACCTTGTAGCCCTATATAATATAATATAATATAATATAATATAATATAATATAATATGAATAAAATACATGAAACATTAGATAAAAGATTAAAAGAAAAAGACCCGTAGTGATGCAGAAGCTAAAAAAAATCAGTAAATCTGGCTGTTTTATGAGGCGAAGACAACAAAAGAAACAGTTATGTGTTTTAGCGAAATGTTTACGTCAGAATTTGACCAGAAAAGGTGTTTCTATCCTCCATGAAGCATTAACTCTTTTTTTCAAAAGTTTACAACCACCACAACTGTGAACATTTTCTATTGTTGCCATTTCCATGAACTTTTGCAATACTTAATTCTGCTGTCAGCCTTTTAGTTACGCTGTCAGCTCTTTTGTTTGCGCTGCCTGATTTTCTGTTTGCAGTTCTGACACTAAACCTTTTGCATGTTTGTTTTAGAGGTGCATCCACATTGGCTGATGCCTTCTTGACTGATTGCTCTCGACATTCTTCTGGTGTCATTTCACACCTGTTTGCTTCTCTCCTATTCTCGGTGCTCACATATTCTGCATTTTAATGCATTTTCTTTGGGATAATTTTGAACTGCAGTTGCAAGTATCTCGCCATAAACGCCGTTATTACTAGTCCAACAAAGCATTTGAACAGCGTTTGCAGAAGTGATAGCGGCTGCCGAGGTTGATAAGATTGTTAGAAAACACTGTGAAATAGGAAGAACTTATCAGCAAGGACTGTGTGGGGAACAAGAGGTTGATCTTTAGAGACCCGTGGTTGAATTATACAAGAACTTTGAGCCTCAGGTTGCTCTGATGTGGTGGCAAAACAGTTTGTTGTATGCATTGAAGTGCTGCAGTGTGGTTGAAAATTCAATACGTGCAAGAACTCTAGTTTAAAACCTCGGTAATTACATTTTGACAAGACAGAATTCCAATTTCAGACTCAGTTCAAACTCAATTTAATAATCTCAAAAGGACAATGTAGATATGTTGACCTGAGAATTAAATATGTTTTGAACTGAAATTGTCAGAATTAAACTGTAAATATCTAATTTACAGCTGCAGAAACTCACTATTGACAGCACAGATATGATTTAATAGCATGGTGTTACGACCCAGCCTCTAGGGTCAGCTGGATGCAACAAAAACCAGATGGAAATGGTTCAGGCAAAGCAATCTATTGCTTATTAACGTAAATGAACATAAGAGAACGGTGCTGATATGGAAGAAGCTGGTGGATGTTGCTACAAATCAAAGGACCAAACGAATGCCAATAGAGTGTCAAAAGCTCGCTAACAGAAAACAAAACTAAACTCTGTAGCCAAAACTAAATCTGATAGCAACATCCACACATAGCAAAAGGAACTAGAACAAGCTCGTGCCCCAGATCACACAGTGCGAAAACACAATAAGACACAGACAACCTCTTCAGGAAGTTGGGCGTCTGCTAACAGG